TATACACGCAAGCAATTTGGATTTTTCTGAAATAATGTATTCACAACACATCAAGTCCCTCTGGTTTTTATTGTAGTTATTCTTTATTATTACATTTAAATAAGCATTTATAATTATTAGTAAAAACTTATGCCCTACTTGAATATAAAGCTTCCTTCAGAGTAACTTTAAGAGAGAAAATATTTTTTGTGAAGAGAATAATGTTCCTGTATATTATCTAGTTGGTTAACTATCGGAATTGAGATTGGGAAAAATTATATCTATTAATAATTGTATAATTTAGTTGTGAATAAGAAAAACAATAACACTAGGTACTTACACTTTATGTAGACGTAAATTGTCAGACTGGTATCTCATCCTCTCTGGCCAAACGGTAAGATGCTTGCCTGTTAATCTGGGTGCTTGAGTTCGTATCCCATAAGAGCCGAATTTTTTTTTTTTTCTTCCTATAACTGATGATATTTTAGGTAATTATTCTATTGATGTATAAACTATAATTGTTGCACAAAATTTATTTATTTATTTTTCTTTCCAAAATCTCACCTGAGATCTCAGATGAGAATTTGACATGAGATCTCAGGTGAGAAATCACATGAGATATCAGATGAGATCTCAGGTGAGATTTGTCAGGAGGGTAAACAACCACTCTCTCTCTCTTTCTCTTTCTCTTGTGTGCGTACTATATACACATCACACAACCTTTATATATGTTTGATGTACATATTGTGCTAGGCAGTGCTACCAACTTTTGCTCACTTACGAGTCTTTCTCCCTCCCCCCTGAAACGCATACACTGCAACGAAGGTTGTGAATATCCTTAAAATGCTTAAAACAAGACTTTATGAGCTCAGTGTTCGCCAAATGGTCCTATCATTTAATTAGCTGCGTTCCAAATTTTCTCTATAAATGTTATATTTTTTGGTTCACTCCACTTATAGTAGACGGTTCGTAGTGATCCTCAGAGCTCTCAGTATCTAAGTAGTAGAGCGCTTGAGCGCCGATATAGATACTATAAAGAACAACGGTGTCTGGGCCCAATGAGTAAAATAAATCCTACGCTCTCAGAACAGTAAGGATCAACGATTGAGAGAATAGTAGACAGCCCTCTCCAATCATTCTGTATGAAATTAATACTACACATTTATAATTATGGTGAACTAGTATCATATACGTATCCCATAGACATTAAACAAAGAAAAGCAAAGGATAGTGTTAATGGAGTAGATACGTACTTAGCAGCACATTTAAGTATGCATAAAAACTCAATATTTGGAATACAATTCACGTTTTCTATTGACCTTGAATTTTTGTATATTTTAAACGTAATCACCTTACTTTGGTATTAAAGTAAGGTCTTAGTTATTAAATTTATCATCAGCAATATCTTACATAATGGTTTAATCACAGTTTAATTTACACGTGCTGTTTCTAATCAATTACCTAACTAGTTTACCCAATTCGAAAAACGAATAACTGTTTTATTAGGAAAAGGAGTATTTGTGCTTGATTTCATTATTTCTTGTATGATTAGAAGTAACCCTACGTTTGCTGATATAATTTGGAATATCCAAAAAAATTTAAGATAAAAGATAACTAAAACAAAATCTTATTCTTAATTTTTTGGGCCGTGTGTTATAAGTGATATGCAATGATGAGATGCAATAATAAAACTTATTTATTTACATTTTGTTCAATGAACTAGCTTCTACAATATAATACATCATGTAACACAATTGTAGTATCGACATAATCTACACTTTTAAGTACTAGTAAATTAAGAAATCGTTTAATAAAAATTGTAAGTGGCTTTCGAAAGTTTTTGTATGTTATAAGTAACTGTTAAATGTGATAATTATCTAATTATTTAGTTTATCGATTATTAAGTAACTGTCGTTCAAAATATTAGTGCTTGGTTGATTTGTACAGAGTTCATGATGAAAGATAGTTTCATAAACGACATAATAGGGTGTTTGAAACGTTCAGTTACAAAGTATTAAACAAAAAAACGTTTTGTGAAAGAGTGATTTCATTTATTTAAATAGCTTTCAGAAGAAATTGCTCAAAATTGTATGACAGAGTAGTTCGAAAAAAACCATCATAACTTTAAAACTCCAAAACTGTATTTCAAGAAAAAAGCTACTTAGTTGGATAGAGCGATAAATTATTTAAAAAAATGAACTTAGCATTTATGCAAATATTCTTAGTATCATTAGGCAAGCAACTTTGTTTCATAATAATGTGTTTTATAGAACATTGTAGCTATATAATAAATAAGTACTTGATATTGTTCACGTGTAAATAATATCATCAACTACGCAAAGTAATTCTATACCAGTTTATAAACTCCCACACAACTTTGAGTTTAGTAACTTAATCTACCACTAGGCAGTGCCACATCGAAAAAATATCTACCTTCTACTAAATCAGTGCGTCGTAGGCATCATAAGAAGGGTTCGGAGGCCCATGAGTCAGCAGGTAGTAAGCAGTCAAGAGCATCATTAGTCTTAATAAGTAACCAGCTATACAATCAATACCCTTGGCAGAGCGTTTTCTTTGAGAAATCCCTCTTCCAATATTAACAAAGGATAATTCAATGGCTACATCCCAATCAGGCACCCAAGCAGCTGAGAGGGGCTTCTAAAGCAACAATCTTCACAAACAGTCTTCGTCAGAGACAACCACGCCTAGCAGCCAGTCTCCTCCCCCTTCCTAGGAACTGAAACAACCTTTGTAGTGGCTTCTACCAGTGACATCGAGGAAGATGAGGGAAGCCCAGGGCTGTCTATCAGCGATTACATTGGGCAGTACTAAAACAACTTTTGTAGTGGCTTCTACCAGTGACATCGAGGAAGATGAGGGAAGCCCAGGGCTGTCTATCAGCGATTACATTGGGCAGTACTAAAACAACTTTTGTAGTGGCTTCTACCAGTGACATTGAGAAAGATGAGATTGAGAAACCTTAGATAGTGTCTCATATAATACCGATGATAATCCTTTCGTTTTTTTCGATCTTAGACTAAAGGATTTAAAGTGAGTAGAGACACTTTACCAGTAGCTATGAAAAATAAAAAATACTGCTTCAGCGTATACATCGCTCCAAGGCATGCAATCGATGCTTCAGTTTCTGCAGTTACTAGACTAACTCGATTAAGAAGGCAGCTCTATTGTTGTGGTAAAGAAGGTTCAAGTGCATCTCCTAAAACTTCTTCTTTGAAGATAATTGAATTTTTGAAATCGTTAGAAAAAAAATCATCGTAGTAGCTCACAACTTTCATTTTGATTACAGGTATGTTTTACATGCAGATACACAACTTTTTCTTACTGATAAACTGTCTGGGATTATTTTTGGATTTTGTTATTCATTGCCTCTCTTTAAATTAATATTACCGTATGGAACAAATAAGCACCGCTCATCAGTTTTGGAAAAAAAATTATTGGAAATCTCTAAGAGTGAATCTCATAACGCTATGTTTGTTATTGTTGTATTAGAAAAGTTATGTCTAAAGTACCTTGATATGAATAGTATCACTGAGAATAAAATAACCATAAATGACATTATTAAAACCACTAAAAATCATGAAGGAAGCAAAGAAATTGAAAAAACGTTGGTTCCCTTAAGTGCCGTTATTTTAAAGGCAACAATACGAAGACTAGCTGAGAATAATATTGCATATAAAGGTTTATGGAATAAGTATAAGGTTGAAGGCTAAGAAAAATGTATTGTGTACCTGAAAAGAGAAGTTAATGGTGAAGCAAACATAATGAAGACAAAATAAGTTATAGATATTCTTATAGATTTTCTAAAACGTGAAATAAAGTTATTCTTATTTATAATTAGAATTATTGACAAAAATGAAATGCTTATTTAATTCATAGATTCTAACAAACAAACTACTCAAAATACCTAATAACTGTTTATAAACTATTACGAAAAGTTTCGTCAAATGTATAGATAATTTTTAAATAGAGACTTTTATTAAAATACGTTTATAATTTACCTAACAAACTTTCATTTTTTATCCTCCATGAATTCCCTCGAAACATAATTTATATTTTATGTACACACATCTATCTAATATCCACAAACTTGGAATTGCTTACAATTCAAATCGAGTTGAGTTTTCCACTAAAAGAACGCATACGCACGACCAACATCAGTAAGTTTGGAAACAGTATTTTGTTTTTTAGCAAATAACCTCGTAGTAAGCAATGCCAATTTTAAAAACATTTGTTTTGTATTAAAATATCAACAATTTAGGCCCAAAAAATTTAAAATCGTACATTCGAGTTAAATAAAATAAACTTTTTAAAAATTGTTATAAAAGCCTATGTTTAAGCTTCAACTTTGTCAGTTCATACCTGCCAAAATACGTGGTAAAAAAATTTGCAACAAATAAAGACTTATTTTTTCATAGCAGACTATAACATATCCAAAATTCAGCCAAATCGTACATATTTTGCTGTAGCTGATGAATGTTATTAAGTTACGCGTAGCTCATTGTTGTTATCTTTATGACTTTCTGGCCATTTGCAATGACAATAATAATTGTGTTTTTTTATTTAAAAATTTTTGTATGCAAATCGAAACAAATAGTAGTATGGTTCCAGGTTTCGTTTCTTTTTCTAACTTACTTGTAGATCTCCCGCTTTACTAAATAAGGTTAAATTTGTTTAAGTAGATAAACTTATTCTTGCTGTCTTTTAAGTTTGAGGCTTGTATTAGACTCGCAACAAAATCCTCTAAACTTCACTTACGTTACACTGGCGTTAAAATGCGACAGCAAACTGATACATAGTCTAATACCATGCTTGTAAATCAGGCTGTGTTGTTCATGGTATTTAATTACTTAATTCTTGGTCGATTCATTTCGTAACGAGAAATTATCTTTAAGAATCTATCTAACGTATTTATAATACAAAGTTTAAGTGTTGCTAAAATAAAAATTATACTTGTCATAAATATATTTGGCTTATAAATAGCTAATGAATTATATTTTTTTAAGTGGTGCTGGGAAGACAAGTCTTCTTGCAACTGTAAGCTTGAGAACAAAAGGTATGATGCATTATATTACTTTTACAATGGTGATGATAATAAAAAAAAACCTTATTCCTTTTTCGATTATCAGCTCAAGAAGTCCAAGAGGTGTTACATTACATATTTCTTATTTAAGATACGTGATACAGGATTTCTGTAAAAAAAATAAAATAAAATAAAATAACTACAAAAAATATTCTTGCAAAACACTGTTTTCTTACAACCTAAAAAACAAATACAATTATTAATTTGTACACTTAAATGATGTATGTACTTTTAATTGGAACAACAGATGTACTCTAAAGTTTATATTTTATAATATTAAAGGTGACAGAGTTATACAGCGTACTAACTATAGGATTTATTAATAGCCTAAATTATTTGCAAGCAAATAAGAGTGCATTACTTAATGATTTGGATTTGATATACCGCCTTTTCAAAAAAATAGAGTCTTTTCTGATTTTGTTAATTCTTAGAGAATGTCAATGACCTGAAAATTATCAAGAGTCATGCGCACTTATAAGTATGCTAAAAACAGAAGTCTTTTATCCCTGTAGTAGTATACACAACAAAGATGTGAGTCTCGAGAACCCTGGCTGAGCTGAAAGTTCAAAACGGCTTATTCCCGTGCTCGACGAAGAAATTGAATCGAGTAAAAATTGTCAATTTTGCCTTTTTTGGCTTTTTTTAAGAGATATTAGCATTTCCTTTATTTTTGAGAGTTATGAAGAACGTAAATGGCACATGTTTTAGTACTTTTCTTGAAATAGCTTTCTTAAGGGTTGTATACAAGACTGATTAGTGATGACTTAAACGGATGTTATTATTATATCATTACATAAATTTCGAATCATTAAACACATGTGTATATCCTGTCGCATACTAATATGTATTTTTACAACGCAGTGCTCTCCATGAGGGAAATGGGCGACATTCTAGCAGCAAAATTGCCTATTACTTAGATCCTTTGCTCTCGAGGTGGTCTATGTGGAATCATCACTGCACCAACGTATTATTAACTGTATTTAATAATGTGTAAGAATGTGTTACCAATATTTTAACTTGTAACCAATACTGTAATATGTAACTAATTATGTAATAATATGCCTTACTGAAACCAGGCTATACGTAATTTTTTAGTAGGGATTTATTTTTGAAAAAAAAAACGTACTTGTACTAAATGAAAAAAAAATATACTGATATGTAAATATCCACAACAAAAAAGAGCCAGCACCCCTGTCTGTTTGTCTTGGTGACGATATTAAAAAGTACATAAAAAAGTTGCTTAGTTTCTTTTTTTCTTTCTAATTCTGTAAAAGTTTATATGAATCATGACGTTCTAAGTAACAATATATACTAAACTATACGATTTAAAACGACGTCAGGCAACAATAAAAGTAAGTAACTACTTATAGTAAAATGAAGTTGGGTGTTTCCTTATATACAAAAGAATCAATCCAACGAAAAATAGTTTCTTTTTTCTTATTTCCTGATTGGCATACACAAACAGTCGAACAAGACACTTTTAGAAAAAGTATTTAGTGAGGAGAAATAGACATACCCATAAAAATAAGCATAAAATGTACAAAGATTTAAACACAATATTCTTCAATATGCTATGGAGATTTAAATTATTTTTTAATTAAATTTATTGGTATTAAGACAGAAGCTGACAAAACAGAAGAAATACAAATTGAAGTTGTTGAATGGTAGAAGTAAGTGTAGGTGTAGATAAAAATAAAAATAACAGGTATCTAAGAAGAATTTTGGTTTTTTGAAGAAGGGGGTGGGGAATAGCTTCTGTCTACTTTATCATGAAGTAATCACACGAAAAATTGTAAGTTAATGTGTGTTGTGGGGGAGGGCTGTATCTTACTAATCTCAGCATTCCCTCTGCTTCTTCTCCACAACGTCCAGCTAGCACATACAAATATTTTGTGTAAACATCAAAAATAAATTCGTAATGCAAGAAATTTGAAGAAACCACTGTTAAAATTGCATGCATTTATCAAGATTGGGTGAGTTACATATTGTGGATCACTTACGGGCATTTCAATGACAGCAACGATGACTTAATGATGTTTTTTACCAAATTTCGTATTATTTCTAAAATTCAGTATATTTCACGTACATTTCCCTGGACCGAAAAATTCCCGTATATTTGCCAGATTTTCTAGATTTCCCGTATCATTTGACACCTAGGACTTAGCACAATACTTCGTGGCCACAGTATAAAAACTATGCAATTTCCGGACTCACACATCAATAGGCGTCAATAAACATCCACTACTTTCAACCCCTCACTTTTTTATTCACAAACTCTCATTTTGTTAATCTAGATATATCTAGATTATTTTCGAAGTTCTTACTCCTGAAGTATGTTGCATGTAATGTGCCTTGTTTATTTATCATGAATTTCTTATGGCCTGCCTTAAAAGATTTAATGTAATTTTCTTTTTATTAGGCTTAATGCATTGTATAAGAAAGGATGATAGACTTATAAGTAGTGCACTAGATTTACAATGATTTATGCGTTAGCCTCGAAAGTGTTTTAATACACATAAATATTACCAATATTGATGTATGTTACTTTTAGAGAAATGTATACAAAAAGAATAAAAATGAGAAGGTAAAAGTGATGTGGATGCATACTTGAAAAAGAAAAATTAATCCTACTGATTTATATAAGATAAAAGATGACCAAGGTGTGATTCCAAAAAGTAGCCAGCTCACAATTACTGTGGTTGTGGAAGCTACGAAGCTTTATGGTAGAAGATTTGGCAAGTTTGAACTTAGATTTACAAGATTTATTTAAATCTTCTAAGTTTGAACGTAACCTAGCTTTTTTTCCTTCATTTCAATAATTTTGTCCAATTTGAGATTAACATTTTTGAGCTACAAAAATCATTAGATCTGTAGCAATATAGTGATTTTTTACTGTTTGGTACTGTAGCTTGATTTGACACTTAAAAAATAAATGAAATTTGTTAAAATTAGTCATATAAAGTTAACTAGTAATTAATAAATATAATTGCCAGGTTTTTTGAGCTATGAGGACTAATGAATGTACCTATTGTATATAAATTCTGCTAAAAAACTTGGTGACTTTCCAGTCTTAGCATGTGCTCATTTCCACGAGGAAAATCATATATAGTAGGTTTTACAGATAGTTGTAGTAACTAAATAAAAGATCGTAACCTGAATAAGGCATTGTAGTGCAAATCAGCAAATACAAAAATATGAACTAATTTATTACTTTTTAAGTGCAAAATTCCTGATACGAATACTGGTTCTATACATGTAAGTTTTTTATTTGTAATGCACTACTCTATAAAGAATATAATCATTATTCCAGAAAAGTCACGACATCCATGAAAAACTACTTGTAAATAAAATAAAACGTATGGAAGTTTGAGGTTACTATTAGCACAGATATGTGTACATCCTAATTACGTTAAGTATTTTTCAAAATAAAAATAATATCTATATGATTTTTAGACTGATTTTATTAAGAGTAATCAATAATTATTTCTCTTTATTACATATTAACACCAAATGTTGGCATTGCATGGAAGTAAAATTGATAGCTATTAAATAANTTGTTGAATGGTAGAAGTAAGTGTAGGTGTAGATAAAAATAAAAATAACAGGTATCTAAGAAGAATTTTGGTTTTTTGAAGAAGGGGGTGGGGAATAGCTTCTGTCTACTTTATCATGAAGTAATCACACGAAAAATTGTAAGTTAATGTGTGTTGTGGGGGAGGGCTGTATCTTACTAATCTCAGCATTCCCTCTGCTTCTTCTCCACAACGTCCAGCTAGCACATACAAATATTTTGTGTAAACATCAAAAATAAATTCGTAATGCAAGAAATTTGAAGAAACCACTGTTAAAATTGCATGCATTTATCAAGATTGGGTGAGTTACATATTGTGGATCACTTACGGGCATTTCAATGACAGCAACGATGACTTAATGATGTTTTTTACCAAATTTCGTATTATTTCTAAAATTCAGTATATTTCACGTACATTTCCCTGGACCGAAAAATTCCCGTATATTTGCCAGATTTTCTAGATTTCCCGTATCATTTGACACCTAGGACTTAGCACAATACTTCGTGGCCACAGTATAAAAACTATGCAATTTCCGGACTCACACATCAATAGGCGTCAATAAACATCCACTACTTTCAACCCCTCACTTTTTTATTCACAAACTCTCATTTTGTTAATCTAGATATATCTAGATTATTTTCGAAGTTCTTACTCCTGAAGTATGTTGCATGTAATGTGCCTTGTTTATTTATCATGAATTTCTTATGGCCTGCCTTAAAAGATTTAATGTAATTTTCTTTTTATTAGGCTTAATGCATTGTATAAGAAAGGATGATAGACTTATAAGTAGTGCACTAGATTTACAATGATTTATGCGTTAGCCTCGAAAGTGTTTTAATACACATAAATATTACCAATATTGATGTATGTTACTTTTAGAGAAATGTATACAAAAAGAATAAAAATGAGAAGGTAAAAGTGATGTGGATGCATACTTGAAAAAGAAAAATTAATCCTACTGATTTATATAAGATAAAAGATGACCAAGGTGTGATTCCAAAAAGTAGCCAGCTCACAATTACTGTGGTTGTGGAAGCTACGAAGCTTTATGGTAGAAGATTTGGCAAGTTTGAACTTAGATTTACAAGATTTATTTAAATCTTCTAAGTTTGAACGTAACCTAGCTTTTTTTCCTTCATTTCAATAATTTTGTCCAATTTGAGATTAACATTTTTGAGCTACAAAAATCATTAGATCTGTAGCAATATAGTGATTTTTTACTGTTTGGTACTGTAGCTTGATTTGACACTTAAAAAATAAATGAAATTTGTTAAAATTAGTCATATAAAGTTAACTAGTAATTAATAAATATAATTGCCAGGTTTTTTGAGCTATGAGGACTAATGAATGTACCTATTGTATATAAATTCTGCTAAAAAACTTGGTGACTTTCCAGTCTTA